GGGGGGCGGGGCGGGGGCCTCCGAGTGTCGCGGCGGGGGAGGAGTGGAGGGGAGTGGGTGCTGCACTGGCCCTGGATTCTTAGCGAGGAAAGAAGCAGGTAAATGGAAGATGGAGAAAGGTGCAGTAAAGGCTTGTAGAGCTTGAAGTTAAGTATTCTGGAGATCATAGAATCGTGGGATGGTTTGGGTTGGAAAGGACCTTAGAGATCATGTAGTTCCAACTCCCCTTGCCGTGGGCAGGGACACTCTCACTAGACTAGGTTGCCCAAAGCCCCATCCAACCTTCCAGGGCATCCACAACTTCCCGGGGCAACCTCTGCCGGTGTCTTGCCACCCTCCTACTGAAGAATTTCTTCCTAATATCTAATCTAAATCTAGCCTTTTCCAATTTGAAACCATTTTGCTTTGTCCTAACACTTATAAAAAGTTCCTCTCCATCTTCCTTGTAGGCCCCCTTCAGTTACTGGAAGGCCACTATCAGGTGTCTCCAGAGCCTTCTCCAGGCTGAACAACCCCAACTCTCTCGGCTTGTCCTCCTAGCAGAGGTGCTGCAGCCCTCTGATCATCTTTATGACCCTCCTCTGGACTGACTTTTTGGTATACGTTTTTATAGCAGAGGCACGGAGGAGAGTGTTGTTATTACAGCTAACGTTAAAATGTACTGTTAGTTGTGATGAGTGGTAAAAAAACAAAAATAAGTTAATTGGAAAATAGAAGTTAATGGAGGAAAAGTCCCTCAAGTATTTGTTATATAGAACATCTTTTAGTAGGTAGTGAGTCAGAAGCTTTTATGGACTTTGATCTGAACCAATGGCTTTATTATTGTTCTTTGTTAGAGGTATTAGTATGTGATCTTATTCACAGTGGGATTTGATGGTTCTTTCTGGGTGTGGAGAATTCATTAATTGCTTTTGTTAGTGTGATTTTTTTTTTAGGAATGTGTAATTCCACCTTTTAATAGTGGAAAATGCTGGAGGAAACCTTGGTTAGTCGTTGGGATGCTGACTTTGGTCTCTGGAGGCTCTTAGTGTTTGATTCTAACTTTGGACAATTAAAAAAGCTCCAGAGTTTATTATTTGTAACTTTGGACAATGATTTCTGAGGCAGTTTTCATGTCTCCCAGCATTGTCTCTCGTGATCTGTCTAGTCACAGAGATGGAATTTGGTTTAGGTTAGTTTGATCTTAGGTATGTTTCTAAAGTGGGATCTCAAGGAAGAAAACATGAAAGAAACTTTGGGGAATAACTTGTATAATGTAGAAAAAATATAGACATATTGAGTTATAGAAGTATTACTTGATAGATGAAAGTAGATGATGTTTAGAAAATAATATATGTCAGTGGTACTTAAGAACGGTGATGACTGAATTAGTAAGATGCTGGTAAATCCTCATGGTTCAGTGCTATTCAAGTGCAGCCACTGAGCTTTCTGTTCAAGTTGGCTCAAGCTTGATGAGATCTGTTGCTTGGATAACTGTCCATGGATAATACAGAAGGTACTATGTTACAATATTTCCTGTTAAAGTCTGAAATTAAGGCCTACTACTAAATAGATGGAATACCTAATTTACCATTCTTTTTTGGTTTTAGTTGTTTCAAGAGTGTTATTTCTCTTCTTGCTGTGTTGTGAAGTCTTATCAGAAGGGTGATCTTAGTCTTGTTGTGACAGACACCAAGGCAGGCTCACGATTATTTGAAGTGAACACTTCTTCCAAAGGAGAGAAAGTTCCCCAATGAGAGTTACTATAAAGAGGTTTTAAACATTTCGAGAGATGGTGTCAACTTGCGGAGTTTTCAGTGCAGAAACCGTTTCCTGTTGTTTTTCCTCATTTTCTACCCATATTGACTGTGTTTTCTTTTTGGTGTCTTTTATTGCTATATGGGGAAAATCCACCTATTTGGATGGGGGCTTTGTGATCACAGTGGAAAAAAAAACAGTTTCACAAAATTTTTTATTTTATTTGCATGAAAGGATTGGTTGGTTAGTAATATAGAAGACAGCAACAGTCCTTATTGTTCTTTCCTCTGGTTGCAACAGCACATCTAACAGGAAACAAGTGATATGTTAAAAATAAAAAAAAAACAAAAACATTTCTGAAGGAAGTATCACATTTACCAGTGATTTTGTTTCCCTGCTGTTTAAGCTGAGAACAATCTTTAAAAAGTTGTCTTACTTTTTCATAATTTAATGTTGTCTTAAGTGCAAAGTGCAGGCAATATTTGCCTCTACCAAGTGTTGATGATTTGTACCTGCTTCTGTATTTGCAAATCCCGTGATTATTTTCTTTAAACCATGCTTATGTCTGATAAACAGGAAAAGTAGGCTCTTTTTTTCTTTCTTTCTTTCTTCCCTCTTCCAAGCTTTGTCAGCTTCTTCTAATCTGTCACGCATACTTGAACTTTCTTTTTCCTTAAATAGATACCAGCCAGCACTCTGGTGTTGAAGTAAGTTCACATAGTTTATTATGAGTAGTCAGTTAAAAGGCAGTGAATAAGATACACAATTATAGGTCAGGGTTAGGAATGAAGATACGTTTTAATTAATTTAAACTTAAATCGTTATCTGTTTGTTTGTTTTTTTTTCCCCAGGCTACTGTTCCTCTGAGTCACCTTATCAATGCCTTTCATTCACCAAAAAGCTCCACTACTGCCAGCAGAGCATCCGTACAGCCTGTGCAGAGGGACACCTCCCCAGAGCATGATCCTCAGAAGAGTGAGGTACTAAAAAGCTGTGGATAAAGTGGTGGTTTGCTTTTAACTGAGTTAATGTTGAATAACATCAGTTTAAGTGAATTTAATATTTGACATATTTTATAATATAATGTAGTGTGACTAAATTGAACAATGTTAACACTTAGAATGTAACTTGAGTTAGTGCTTTGGCACTAAGGATTCTACAAATAAACAGTATTTCATTAACAAGAAGAGAAGCTAGTCTTGTCTCGTTAGTAACCTGCAAGTGAGCAAAGGAGGTGTTTTCAATTCTACTTACTTTTGGAGTTCTGCCAAAGTTTATTTCATTATTGCTTGTGAGAAAATGGACTGGAACTTAGAATACATTGTGTTGTTTTGGGAGATTAAATAGCATATTTGCATCTTCCTTTATTTTTCTATTAAAATACCTTTAATTATGAATGGTTTTGTTTTTTCCCTTCACATTGAAAATCAAGATACAGAAAGTGCCAAGTACTGTCAGGTCTTGCCACTTCTCTTTCAACTAATTTCTTACAGTAAGTTTTGTAACTAAAAAAATGTTTGGGAAAAGGTCTTTTTTTGAAGGCTAAGATGGATGGCTTCTGGTCTACTTAAGACACCTATTTTAAAATATAAACTTTTAATTAGGAAGTATTCTAGATGCATCTAGGGATCTGTTCTAAAAATGCTTCATTTGACTTTTTATTCAAGTGTTTTTCATGTATTTATTTTTATTAAAAATCTAGTTTCACTTTGAAAGTAGATCAACATAAAGCTTATATAGAAACAATTTAGGAAGAACAAAAAAACACAATCCATAATGTTCTAACAATCAAAAGCTGTGTATCTGTGCAAATATATTTAGAAAGGAATATTTCCTTCTCGGTTAAGAAGGTGTTACTATGGAAGCAACATTGAAAGGCTAACATATTTTAAAGGGTCCAAGCCAATACACATTTTAAAACATACTCTTGTATAAAAAGATTTTTTTCCTGTTTGTAAAATACAAGATTAATATTACTCTGATCAAGGTTACTTCTTTAGTAACTCAAGTTTATGTGCCGTATCTCCTTGGTTTTTTCATAGTTTCTTTGCTTCGTAGGAAAACCCAGATCCTAGGACCTAGCCTTTTGCCCATAGACACTTTTGCCTTCTATTGTGTGTCTACCCAGCTCGTGGCTTTTGAGATTTTAACTCTGGGTATAATTTCTAAATATTTAATCTTTGTGCTAAATGCTGAACCTGCACTATCTGCAAAAAGGCTAGTAAAAAAGAGTTTTTAAAAAATAAATAGATGTACAGTGGCAATTAAAATACTAATGTGTGCTAATAGAAGAGCTCTTCTGCATTGCCAGTAGCAAATACTCTTTCCTTAATCTTGTCTTTTGATTCATTTATCTTCTTTTAGAAATTTTGTATTTGTCTGAACTGTGAAATACAGATGTTGTATCAAGCCAAAAGTTAACTCAGTTATTCTTCATTTTCCCCCCCCCCTAAGGTACTCTTCAGTAAATTTCAAACATTTCTTTTTGTTTTGCAGTCTGTACTTAGTTTAAGAGATCTGGGATTGTCTGATTTGAAAGCTAACCAGTTCAGAGAGTTGGTGAACAGGTTACTTCCTGGCTACTGTGCAGAAAGCAAAGTCTCTTCGCAGTGGCATACATCGCACGTCTCTGCAGAGTCCTTCTTTGAAAATAAGCATGGTATGTTTCAGAATAAAGTGCTTATGAGAATTGAGATTATGAAGGTGAACACACTTATTCTTTAGCTTAATTTTTTGTGCTGTAGATAGCTCATAGTTTAAAAAAATCTATAATAAAAAGAGTATTGGTGTGTTTTTTATTGTATACAGGTTGTCTCTAGAGTGGCGCCTTTGAATCTTGGGAGCTTAAAAAAGTTAAACTTAGATCTTGGAATTGTTTCTTGAAATTCAGATTTGAAGTTGGCTGCTGTTAAACTTGTCTGAACTTGGCTATTGGACAAGTGAATTGTCTCTTAATGATGAGGCTGAGCTATTGATCTTTCACCAAATAAAATAAATCAGGTTTTACTAATTTGCTAATGTAACAGTCTTTAACATTTCCACCGTACATTAAGTTATTCCATTTTTGCTTGAAGCAGCAATACATGAGGACATTAATTAGAAAATAATTCAGGGTGACAAACTGTTAACAGTCCACAGGTGACAAGCTTTAACAGCCCACAGAGTTACTGTGTTGCTGAAGGAAACAAAAAGTGCTTCCTTACAGTTATAGATGTTTTGTTTAGATGAATCTAGAATACAGGAAGCAAGGCCATTGTAGATGCTCAAGAACATGTTAGAAAAAGAAGCTTAAAGCTGACTTTAGAGATGCTTGCTGGATAGTATTGCAGTTTGGAGAAAGAGT